AAGACATATTTACACATATGTATGTGAATTTAGTATGTAAGACATATTTACACATATGTATGTGAATTTAGTATGTAAGACAGATTTACATATATTCATGTGAATTTAGTATGTGTAACAGATTTACATATGTTTGTGTGAATTTAGTATGTGTAACAGATTTACATATATTTGTGTGAATTTATTATGTAAGACAGATTTACATATATTACATATATTTGTGTGAATTTAGTATGTAAGACAGATTTACATATATTCATGTGAATTTAGTATGTGTAACAGATTTACATATGTTTGTGTGAATTTAGTATGTGTAACTGATTTACATATATTTGTGTGAATTTATTATGTAAGACAGATTTACATATATTACATATATTTGTGTGAATTTAGTATGTAAGACATATTTACATATATTCATGTGAATTTAGTATGTGTAACAGATTTGCATATGTTTGTGTGAATTTATTATGTAAGACATATTTAGATTTACATATATTTTATTTTCACAGAGATCTACTGGGGGAATAACAGCATGTGAGTATGGGTATTATAGCTAGTCATAATGTAATCACAATAAATAGATTGTGATTGATTTCTATTGATTTTACAATATTTTACAAATAATTTTACATATTATTACAAGTAGACTGTCGAATAGGTGACTTTCGTTTCACTGAACTAGAATTTTGTTTAAATATTGAAATCTTAAGATACCCTAACTTCAACGAAATTGACCACCATCAAATGTGTATAGCATATTATGAAGCATGGGACTACCCTCAGCAAACTTTTACGTTTGTCGAATTACACACGAAGTTTTGACTGAGACGTTTGTTTCTTCTGTTTTTACTTTCAATTTCACGCATAACGAGGGATCTCACAATAAATTGAAAATGGTATATTATCTCGTCTGATCTGTTTAGTATTATCTTCTGAAAACAGTCTGATTTATTATAAAATGAATATCATTTCAAGGTATTCCTGAGTATCAAGTTCTCACTGATAAAATGACATGGGATGACGCGAAGGCTGCATGTGAATCTTCTGCTTCTTGGAAACTTGCTGAGATCCGTTCCCAGGCACAACAAGATGCAATCAAGGCCATTTTACCAGCAGGAGACGGTAAGTTTAAACACCATAAACTCCGGGATATAAATCATAACTAGGAGAAGTGAAACACAGATTAAGATTATGTGTTTAATTTGTGATCGACGTAGTTGGTAATATCTAATCTTACATATCGTAGTTTCTATTGCACAGTGATTAAGTTGTCAGTTTTAATCTTGATCATATGTTTAGGAATAATGGCCGATCCGCGGCCAATTATTGTTATAAATCCCCATTACCAGAATATCATATAGATTGTTAGGATATCATAATGTAAACCTTAATGCGCAAGTTATCCTCCTAAATGTAACTGAATTTGTTTATTTTTGATGGTGGTGATTTATCACAATAATGATTCCTACAGCATCATATTGAATTCATAGAAGGTTTTTTTTAACACAATTTTCTCGCCAAACCAGCAAAGACTTGATTGCCGATTATGATGGCTATTCAGTTGGCAGAGTAGCATAACACTGATAATGTGTAGGGATATTGCACAGTTTACATGTACAACTACCGTAGAATTGACGAATGAGATCTTTTAGCTTGTTCACTTGTAAATGTTCGAACACTGTCGTCTTCTCTTAACCAACCTAAAATGAAAAACAAAATACTGTTTTGTAAAACCCAGTAAGATGCACGTTAGGAATCGCACGAATCGTATTTCAGGGATGGCACCAGATAGAATACTGTAAATAATGTAATCTACTTTATAACCTAGCCCATTTTATCTGCTTCATCTTTCCCAATCATTGCGTTATCGTTCGATGCCGCCGTGCTCGTCCTCTGAGAGTAACCAGAACCGTTTCGGTGGCGCTGGCGTTCTCAGATTCGTCAAGTTTTCAGTAGTAAAACAAGATCAGAGTTTTCTTTGCTTACTTTTCTTCCGTCCTCACGTGATATCGTTTGACGGACAAGAACCCGATGTACAAAAATGCACGACATTATAATCCTTGAATAAACATCATCTTTGTATGTTTTTATTCCCAAACAGATCATTATTGGATTGGTGTTAAAGATGTAGTCGGTGACAATAAAAACTATGAGTATGCTACTGGTGGTTCAGTGATTTACACAGACTGGTCGTCAAATGAGCCAAATAATTATAAGGGTACTGCTGAGGATTGTGTAGAGTTACGGTAAGTAAATTATATTTCATTTAATGTGTAAGATATGTTCAATAAAAACAAAACATAAATACGTCCAATAGACCATTTCCCGTACATTGCGAGAATCACGCGTTATGCGTGAAATCGAACGTAAAAACAGGACAAACAAAGGTCATAGCGTCGTAGTCGCGTCAAACATCGCGTGGGATTCGACAAACGCGAAAGTATTTTGGGGACATTTCCATGCTTAATAATGTGCTGTCCACATTTGATGATAGGCAATTTCGATTAAGTAAGGGTATTCGGAAGCAATATTCTTCTGTCGAAGATTGGCCGGTCGGTGTGAGCTACGAAATAAGGAAATTCGAGTTCAAAATCAAATCGTTCAATTTTTGCGGCAGACGTTCGACGCGCGTCTTTCATGCATCTCGCGAGATCTCGCAATTGTACGGAAAATCACCTATTGTGATCATGTTGGCTGATATATGTAGGCATGTAATGTACTAATAGATCAATGATCAACATTGTGTAAGCGGACTGTACGAAACATTTTCCTATTCATCACTCGTACAATTTTATGACAACACTCTTAAGATAGAGATGCAGTTTACCTGACAGGTATTTTAATTAGATGACCAAGATGACCTCCCTTGTCCACAAAACTATATATTTTCGGAAAGCTTATTGTATGAATTTTAAGATTTTGTTACTATTTTTCTTTTATGGACACTGTAGTTTGAAATATGCACAAAAATGTGCTTTTTTGGTCAAAAGTGATTTTTAAAAAATTAGCTCCTAAACCATGCTTTTGTTTTCTGTCAAAATTGGCTTATGGGTACATCTGTTTACTATGAAGAAAGTGCCGTTTTGAAAACTGTCTACCAGTTGTCAATTTTGCAGGCCAGCAGCCCACTACTTCAAGTTTATGCATAAATTAACACCCAGGCTAGTTGTAGTGTTCGATTGTTGTAACACTGTTCAACCAAAAACAATGCCCGACGGAGTTTTGAAGATAAAAACATTGTAAATTATTTGTGAAAATTTCAAAACAAAAGGTAAAAGCGTCTAGGAGCTATTTTTTTAAAGTTCTGGGATGTGCACTAAAAAGAAGCTGAGATAATTGCTAATTTGCATAACCATTCACTCAGTAAGAAGTTTGCTAATGCTCATAATTAAAATGGCTGTAACAGTTACAAATTTAAATGTATTATCGTTTTGTTAAAAGTTAAATACAGTGCATAATATGATAACGCTGATGCATTGGCGAACTCGTAGCTCGTACAACGTTTCGAACGAATGCAAATTCTTTGTTATTCAACAGATGTACAAAGATTCTTTTCAATTATCTTCTCCGTTTTTAAAACTACCAACCTAAAGTATTCTGGAGACAGCCACAATTATAATGTTTTGAAAGAAACAGGATTGGATTTGACAATTAATATTTTGAAATAAATCATTTTGCCAAAATAATATTTAGTCACACAATGACCAAAATAATATAGTGGATCAGTGGATTTCTGTTGTTTTATTGTCACACTACATTATATGTGTTGACCCCGAGTGTGACCCGGAGTCAAAAATAACTCCAGAAAAAGAACAACTCAGATATTACATAATTTGTTCTCAAACTATCGAGTGTGAATCATTATTGATATTGACAACGAAACAAATTAATTTTCCGAATGTTGCCCCCCAAAACGCTAAGAAAATCAGAGGACGGTTTTCTTGATCGTATAAAGTTATATGATAACAGACTCGAACGGTTTCATTCACTGATATGAATAAAACAGTTGCGTGCTCATTCAACATTGAGTTCGAAAGTCTAACGTAACAATTCAAAATTTCTCATCTATAATGCATCAGTAATAGACCATTTTCCGTTCACTGCGAGAATCACGCGTTATGCGTGAAATCGAACGTAAAAACAGGACAAAAAAAGGTCATAGCGTCATAATGGCGTCAAACATCGTGTGGGATTCGACAAACGCGAAAGTATTATCGAAACAACAACTATACTGAACGACAGAGAAACCAAGAAATTAAGTTTGGAAGTTAAAAAAATATATCAATTACACTGGAAAAGGGAAATTAACATAGGGACTGATGTTAACCAAAATAACAATAACAGAAGGAATAAACTGAATTTACTTTAGAAAATTGTGTGATCAAAATAAAGTGAATGTCTAAGTAGGTTCCGTCTGAGCAATCGTAAACTAAGAATTTAAACAGGATGGTACACCAAACCAAAATAGGAAATAGGAAAAAGAATCTGCGAGCTGTGTTTCAATAACAAAATAGAAGATGAGTGCCATTTTATGATTAAATTTATGATTAAAGCACTATTTGAAGAGACTACTAAGCACATTATAAACTTCACGAATATGACGACTACAACAAATTTTTAAAATTAATGGGTGATACAAACCCGAATGTACAAATACCAGTTACCCAATTTATCAAAAATAACACGAACCTTAGACAGCAACATAAATACTTTTCTCCTTTAATACGTTTTTTTTCTCATTTCCATGTTTCATTGATTTACTGTATATTGCCTTTTTATTATTATTTCATCTATTTTTTTTTTCAATATTATTACCTACATATATCAATAGTTTTTTTAATTGTAGTTTGTTGGGTTTTTTTAAACCATTGTCGCGCTTTAGATAGTATTTTTTGTAAAATTTGTATGTTTTATATTTGTGTTTTAGCAGTTAGTGTAACCATTTTAATTCTTTCTGAAGAATGTTAAGTGTTTCTATAAATTATTGTAAAATAAACTCTTTTAAATTTACAGAGGTAACCATGACTATGAGTGGAATGACATACCGTGTAGCAATAAAATTGCTGCTGTTTGCGAGTTTAAGCGTAAGTTTATTGTTATTTATGTCAATTAGGTTATTACATGTAAATGGTTGCTACGGAAGATCATTGTATAATCATTTCCAAGCTAATATACATATGCAAATTAAGTCTCGAGATTAGCACCATATGCACTAAACTCAGATTTTTGTTTTTATTGAAAACCACTTATTTCAAAAACACAAGTTGGCTCACAGTAGTTGCCACCCAAACATTCGTTTCCAATACATCATCTGACCACATCATCGAAGGGCTTATTTACATGTGGCATTATAATTATGTTTTTATTTGTTGTGTCTAAAATTTACTTCAAGCGGGAGGGTCGTCACCTGTGCACGCGCGGGAATTGAGTCCCAATCAACGATAACAAACGCTAAAAACGTAAAGGCTCATAGGTAGACGCTCGTTTGTAAACAATAACACGCTATGGCCATCTGACGCATGCGCAGGTGACGACTCTCCCGCTGTAATGTAATGTCACGTGACATAGCCTAGTCTGTGGACCTACTTTTTGTGTTTTTGTTCTGCGTTTGTACAATTATGAATCTTGCAAAGAGTTCTATGCCATTAAAATCGAGTGCAACACGCCAGTATCTCAGCTTTTTGTTTGTAAATTATCACCTCTACAGAAGCAACAAAGGACCACGTTACAATAGTAACACTAAGTGTAAAATTCGAGCATTTTAGCGTGTGAACCTTTGTAATATCTTTCTGTTTCTCTTTCATACATGGATTCTGTGCAACATTTTAACATATAAATCTGTATAACTAGCTCCTGTTTTTCTTTCATACATAGATTCTATGTAACATTTTAACATATGAACCTGTGTAATAACTTCCTGTTTCTCTTTCATACATAGATTCTATGTAACATTTTAGCATATGAACCTGTGTAATAACTTCCTGTTTCTCTTTCATACATAGATTCTATGTAACATTTTAGCATATGAACCTGTGTAATAACTTCCTGTTTCTCTTTCATACATAGATTCTATGTAACATTTTAGCATATGAACCTGTGTAATAACTTCCTGTTAGTTCCTGCACCTCCATCCATTGAATGCCAACTGTTATGCAACCGCCATTACCTTTCACTAATCAACAATGTTGAGTAGTGGTCACTTGGCTACAACAATATAATTAAAGTGACTCAGCTGACTATATTCTTATGTTAACAGTTTGCTAGGATTTATGGTGATTGTCTAACATACTTTTTTCCACAGGATGCTTACCTACAAATTCTTCAAATTGAGAATTACCTGCGTTAGTTTACAGGTCACATTTTTCAATAAGGGTGACTATAGCAGTAAGTGATTAGCGACAGATAACATTCCGAAATTCAATAAGTAGTCTAAGTCATTTCAAATCACAAGTAGTTCCCCTCCCCCTATCAATGAGATAACTGTCGTATTATAACCATCACGTTGGAATGAAAAGCTAGACACCTAGAATAGCTCAATAACACAGACTGGGGAAATTTCTTTCTGTAATAATCAAGAAAGTGAGCTTGGCCTCTAGTCTATACCAGGGCACTGGTGAAGTTATAACAAAATACTGCATTGAACGGTATCACCATTGGCCTCATTGAATTAGAATGTTTGTTTGTTTGTTTGTTCGGTCCATACGTGTCTGACTACCAGTTGACATAGCTTCAACATAATAAATCTCTAAACGACCAGCTTCCTTGTAACCCCATCACGTGACATATTTACTGAACAGCACACACACACCTCGGCCTATGAATATCTTCCAACAGTGTCCCAGTGAGGGCGCTGCATTACTATAAGATTATGTGTTCATTTAATTGTTTTTAGTCATATTTTTCAAATTGTGTTTATACATATATATTTTTATATTTTGTGACTTCGAACATCCAACGACCTAAACAACCTTCTTAAACGATCTCGCTCATGAGATCCGATCCCGATGTCTTTCTTCTTCTCGAGAGTTGAACGAAATACTATGTCCAGATTTTTAAGATATTTGTGCTTTCGCAATCGGGCAATTATACGAAAAAATGAAAATAATTATATATAAAATATATAAAATTATTATAAAATCAAACACCAAAAAAAAAAAAAAAAAAAAAAATATTCAAATAAAAAAACACACTCAATTAGATTTCAATCACATTTCTAGGGGATTAGATTAGATTATGGTCTAAGTACTTTTGATATGAGAAAGTATAATTTATATCCCTGTTTGTATATCTCTGATGTGAAACCATCTTTTGACAAGAATGAATCTACCCAACTAATGAATACATATATGAGTCTTTGTCACTAAACTTTGAGTTGTCACATACAGGTATTCCTGAGTATTTAATTTTAACTGATAAAATAACATGGCAAGACGCAAAGGCTGAATGTGAATTACAATGTGGCAGACTTGCAGAGATCTGCTCCCAAGCAGAACAGGATGCAGTAACTGATTTCTTACCAGAGGGAGAAGGTAATTTGAAAAAAAATATATTACACTATAATGACAGTGATATCAATGATATAAATCATAAGTCAGAACTGATACTTAGATGAATTACGTAGGTTATTACGAGGATATCGCAAAGTATGCACAAAAACAGTACTGCCGGAGTGTCTGAGTATATACTTTGTGGTAACCTCGTAATAACATTATTATTTGACATCTTTCCTCCCAAGAATACATAATGGGAATGCCGAAATCCAAAAAAATTAAAACAATTTCAGCAAACTTCTTTGTGTAGGATTCCAGTTAAATTTCGCGCTGGGGGCTGCCATGTTAGTTTTTTACTATTGGGGATAGCTCACGCACGTTGTCGTTCCATATTTGGAATTCGCATTTCCTGATATAGCAATATGCAAATACTCGCACAAATACGCCACGCTGTAACTTGCGGTGTTACGATAACAGATGTATATCAATAATCATACAAGTCATTGAAAATGACACAGTCCCCGTTAAATTTTTGAAAGTTCTCTTTGTGCTCGTCATATTAAAGCGGAAGGGTTGTCACGAGCGTGTCC